CTTGTTCAGGCCCTCATCACATCCAGCAGGCACCAATATTTAAACCTCCTAACCTGTCGTCTCTTCTGAGTAAATCCTGCACAGCATGGCTGGACTGACCTTTCTCAACCGTGAACGTGGCCATGTCTCTCCCACACTCAAATATCTCCAAATGGGCTCTGAAGATTTCAGGATAAAATTTAAACTTTTGGGCTAGGCACAGTGGCTCATGCCTGTAATCCCAGCACTTTGGGAGGCCGAGGCAGGCAGATCATCTGAGGTCAGGAGTTCGAGACCAGTCTGACCAACATGGCAAAACCCTGTCTCTACTAAACAAAAATTAACTGGGCGTGGTGGCGGGCATGGTGGCAGGCACCTCTAGTCCCAGCTACTAAGGAGGCTGAGACGGGAGAATCTCTTGAACCCAGGAGGCGGAGGTTGCAGTGAGCCAAGATTGCTCCACTGCACTCCAGCCTGGGCACAGAGCAAGATTCCGCCTCAAAAAAATTTTTTTTTAACTTTTTAGTTTACCACATCAGTGTCTTCCTGACGGGCCCTCTGCATATCCTCAACTTCCCCCATCTGGTCTCCTCACATCCCCTCATCCTTAGCCATAACAAACAGCTTGTGGTTTACAAAAAGCACCCAGTTACTACATACCGCGATTCCTTCTCACATGCCTTTTCCACCCTCTGCAATGACCTAACCTCCTCTTGTCTGACAAACATCCCTTGTCCTTCAGCATTCAGTTTGTTAAGGCTGTTTTGCATGCACTTTATTGTTCTTTTTTTTTTTTTTTTTTTTTTTTTTGAGACGGAGTCTCACTCTATCACGAGGCTGGAGTGCAGAGGCGCAATTTTGGCTCACTGCAAGCTCCGCCTCCCAGGTTCACACCATTCTCATGCCTCAGCCTCCCGGGTAGCTGGGACTACAGGCACCCGCCACCACGCCTGGCTGATTTTTTGTATTTTTAGTAGAGATGGGGTTTCACCGTGTTAGCCAGGATGGTCTCGATTTCCTGACCTCGTGATCCGCCCACCTTGGCCTCCTGAAGTGCTGGAATTACAGGCGTGAGCCACCACACTGGGCCTATTGTTCTTAAAGACTGCAGTGTAACCAGTAAGTAGCACAGTGCTGTTAGTATGGAAATCACCAGAAACTTGGATTGGCATACTAGCTCTGCCACCGGCTAGTTATGTGTCTTGGTGAGGTTAATGGGCTACTGTGTGGACTAAGAGAATGCATAAATGTAAAGTGCATACACCTGGCAGAGACATACCTTTATCTGCCCAGACTCCCTTTCTCCTAGACATCATCTTCCCTTCCCACCCTCCTCCGTCCCATTCATATGGTTTTTCCATGGCCAGAGTTGACTGGTCTAGGGATGGCCACCTGATCTCTGAGTTGAGCCAGTTAGGGCCCTTCTACGGAAAATGAAAGAAAGAAAAAGGCAGCAGAAGGCAAGAGGGGGAAGAGAGGGAGAGACAAAGAGGAGAAGAGTATATATTTGTGAGAAGAGTACATATTGGAAATAGAATCTCAACAAGAGTCCCTAGTTCTAGGTGTTCCCAAGACCCATTTGTCTTTGGAATATCTGGGTAACCCCAATATCCTCTAGCAAATTCTCCTTGAATGGCTGTCAATTGCAAGCTAGAGCCTAACAACACCCAACTTGCAATACACCCTCACTATACTATTATTATTAAACTGTAAGTGCCTTGAAGGTAGGGGTAGAATCTTACTTAATTTTGTATCCTCAGAGATTAGCATAGTGCCTGATACACTGCAGACAGTCAAATACCTACTAGATGAAAGGTTTGTTGACTTCAGGGGAGAAATTATAATTCGGGGTTAAAATTTATATCACAAGCTCAAGGATCTCTACCTAACATCCTGTGCTAAGAGGTAAAAGACAACAAGAAGTAGCAAATTTTTGCCAGTTATGACCAGAGCAAGCCAGTGAGGTAAACATCTGACAGCCACTGGTCAGGCATATTTAATCCTCTGAATATCTTTGATTTATTATCAATTGAGTAAATCAAGGTTTAAGGATTCAAAAAAAAAAAAAACTGTTAAACTTACACAGATAACTATTACTGAAGCTTACCAAGAGTAGACAGTGAGCTGTTCAGAAATCTAGCAACTGAAAAAAAAACAAATCATCACTCCCATGGCCTGGGATACGGAAGGACTCAGAAATTATTGGAAATTCCACAGACTCAAAATGAGGTAACTGTTTACCTTCCTTATTGCATTTTAATCTAGAGATTAAAATAGATCTCATTGTTCCAGAATCCTGCCTATGGTAAGAAATGGGTTCTCAATGGCTGAGAATAAATTTTAATAGCGGAACCAGAAGCATAACAGGAAATCAGGAGGAAGAATTTTTCTTCATAAAAAGGACCATGAGGTTAATTTTCATTTCATTACATTTCTAAATTGTGTATACTTTTGTATGCTGGTTGCAACATATCCTTTCTGTATTGACATGAAGTATAAATTAATCAGTAAATACATAAAATTCTTATATCCTACATTTTCAAAATAGTCCTAACTCATTAATTTATTCCTAAAATAACTAAGGTGCAAAGATTCAAGAATAAGATGACTGATAAATTTGATATATGAATTAACCAAAACCAACACCAAATCATGGTTAGATTCAGGCTTACCTGAAAATTTTATGAAACCACAACCTAATAAAACACAATACTAAATGACTACAAATGCAATCTAGGACACTTTCCATGGCAAGCTATATTAAGAATTCCAGGCTCTGTTGTGTAGAATGGTTCTCAGATTTTCATGTGCCTATGAGTCATCTGGAGGACTTCTTAAAACATCAGTTTTTGGGCCCCACTCTCAGAGATTCAAACTCAGTAGATCTAAGGTAGGATCTGAGAAAAGCTCCCAAGTGGCGGTGATACTTTGGGTTTACTGATGAGGACTGAGTTGCACTGGCCTAGAGGAATCATGGTCACTTTGATTTCAGCAAACACTGGAATTCCCCTGCATCCTCAGCCTCATTCCGCTGAGCTAGAGAATTGTACGTGATATACCCTTAGTTTATAATCCACTGGTGGTGGTTGGAACTACCAGAGACAGAAGCTCAAGAGACTCCTAGAGATGGAAAGGGGATCCTAGTGAGGCACTGAATTATGGTAATAGGAACATAAACCTGGTGGGGTTGGGGGGCAGTCACTGGGAGTGGGGAAAGGGGGACTGGGGACTAGGATAATGGGGAATCCTAAAAGATTGGGAAGAAAAATACTGGCAGGTCACTAGCTGCAGGGGAAGGGAGTGGGAATAGTGGTGAATGAAAGACTACCTCACATAGAATTCCTGTTAGGAAATGGTTGGGAATAGAAAAGAAATGGTAACAGAGGGTGGGAGAGGGCAGGGGACACACAGGAAGCTTGTTTCCCAAGGTGGAAGTGGCTGCCATACAAAGGGGTACAGGGCATCCGGATTGCTCAGCACATCCAACCTGGAAGGTGAATAACCATCTGGGACAACTCTTTTTATATCAAAGATAATGATACACTATCTAAATTATCAATTACAACACACTTTTACTAGAAAGAAAAAGGGTAGAAACAACACTTGTAAATACTTGTGATTTAATTGTATATTGTCTCAGTTGAGCATCCCAACAAGATAGCTAGGGAAAGTATTATCTGTCCCATTCTATACAAATGGAATCCAGAAAGCTGACTAACCTGGGGTCAGATAGCTATTGGGTGGTAAAATCAGACTCATATCCCACCTGATTTCAAAGCCTATTCACCCACTACCCTATGCAGCAGAGAAAGGAAGCTGAGCAGCTCTCAGATCTAGAAGGAAAACCAAGGGTCCACTGGTATCATATAAGCCAAGTGTGAGGTTTCAAGAGGGAAAGGTGCCAGGTGCTAAGAAAAGTTCAAGTGCCCACTAGAGAGGCAAAGAGGTTATCAGTGGCCACTGGTAAGGACTATAAAATTCAAAGTACTAAAATACTCTCCCCTCCCAGAGAAAGAAAAGTTTTAAGGTGATAAAATGCACTAAGTCTGAGACGGAGTGCATTCGTTTCCAGGGAAGTATTTCACTTGTCTGCTTCCTTTCTATGAATAAGTTAAAAACTTGAAACAGCATCCATGCCTCTACACAAATTTTAGCTCGAATCCAAAGGGGACACTGTTAAACAACTGCTCTAAAATGCTGTCACAAGTTTCTAGAAATTATAAATAGCAATTTACAGAGTAATTAAATCACGATTTTTTACTTTATTTTTATTTTTTTGAGATAGGGTCTCAGTCTGCCATCCAGGCTGGAGTGCAGTGGTGTGATCATGGCTCACTGCAGCCTAAACCTCCCAGGTTCAATTAATCCTCTTCCATCAGCCTCCAAGTAGCTGGTACTACCGATGTGCACCACCACGCCTGGCTAATTTTTTTTGTATACTTTTTGTAGATAGAGGGTTTTACCGTGTTGTTCAGGCTGGTCTCAAACTCCTGGGCTCAAGCAATCCACCTGCCTCAGCCTCCCAAAGTGCTGAGACTGCAGGTGTGAGCCACTGTGCCTGGGCAACCATTTTTAAAGTTAGCTCCAAATTCCATGGACATTTCAAAACTTTATATGTTTTTGTAGTTAAAGATTTATTGATAATTTAGTTTTGAACTTTCAAGTTATTTTTTAAAAATAATTTTGACTCCTGAAAGTAAAAATTTTTAAAAGCACACCCAATAATTAAAAACTTAACTGCATAGCAAATTGGTAATCTAACAATACAAATTAGTAATCAAAAAATGCAAGTGCCTTTTAAACAACCATAGCACAAAAATCTAAAGAGGAAAAATGTTTAAAAAAAAAAAATCCCAAAATGTCCTCAGCAGTTTTACTGTTAGTAGAAATATTGGTATTGACTTTTTGGAAACTATTTATATATGGATATATGAAGATATTTAAAAATATAATATATATTATATAAAATATATATTTCAGTAACATATATATGTAAAATATATATATTTAATTATTTATTTTAGGGGAAAGCATGAAGAATGCAGTCCCCCACTACCACAAATCACGCAGTCGAGTTTCCCACTTTCGGGGAAATCACGGGTCAGCACATCCAGAGTGCAATGGATGAACCTCACCCTGGGAAAACCACCTTCATGATCATGTTATCTTCCCTGCCAGGTAAGAATGGGATACAGAATAAATGTTATCTATTAAGAGTGGCAATAAAGATAAATTAAATTGAAGAAAAATCTAGTAATGTTAAATTTGAATTGGAGATATCAATATGAAGTCAACTGTTGAAATACATGTATTTTTTAACGCTGTCTACTCAAAGGGCCTGGAAACAAGGACAGCCTAGGACTGTCAGCATTCTAATCACCCAGACTTTGGTTTCCAAATACTACTACCCACTGAAAGATACCAGCGTTTCTTGGCAAAATGGCTGGTTCCAGATATGAGACAGTAAAGTATAAGGTGAGGCAGAGGCAGCTTGTAGGGCCAGAAAGCATAAAAGCATTCAGAGATAATATGGCACTTCAGAAGGACCCAGGAGTATGTTTGAAGGGGTTATAACTGGTTAATTATGAGTTAATTAACATCAAAAGCAAACAAATGTTAAAACAGAGAAAAAAAGTCCCTAAATCTACAGTGGTAGTTAAAAGGAGAAATAAAACTAAATTTCTAGGGCTGGGTGCAGTGGCTCATGTCTGTAATCCCAACACTTTGGGAGGCCAAGATGGGTGGATCGCCTGAGGTCAGGAGTTCAAGACAAGCCTGGCCAACATGGGGAAACCCTGTCTCTACTAAAAATACAAAAATTAGCCAGGCGTGGTGGCAGGCACTTGTAATCCCAGTCACTTGGGAGGCTGAGGCAGGAGAATTGCTTGAACCCGGGAGGCGAAGGCTGCAGTGAGCCGAGATCATGCCATTGCCCTCCAGCCTGGACAGCAAGAGTGAAACTCCATCTCAAAAAACAAACAAACAAAAAACTAAATTGCTACAACTGGAGGTGACTATTATACTAGTTTCTTATTCTGAAGATTGATAATTAAAGGTGAGAAATTAAACATTGACCTATTTTGTTGAGAAAAAAACTAGTTTTTTCCCAGTTAATAAAGTACTGTGGACTGAATGTGTGTGTCTCTGCCAAAATTCATACATTGAAATCCTAACCCCTAATAGGATGCTGTTAAGAGATGGGGCTTTGGGGAGGTGATTGGGTTATGAAGGCAGAGCCCTCATGAATGGGATTGGTGCCTTTGCAAGAGAAACCCCTGGGAGCTCTCTGGCTTTCTTTCCTACATGTGAGGCTACAAGAAGGTGGCAGCCTATAACCAGGAAAAGGGCCCTCACTGGAACCTGACCATGCTGGCACCCTGAACTCAGACTTCCAGGCTCCGGAACTCAAAAGTAAATTTGTTGTTTATAAACCACTCAGTCTGTGATACTTTGTTACAGGAGCCCAGACTAAGAAATAACAAAGACGCCATCAGAGAAATGAAAATCAAAACCACAATGAGATAGCATCTCACACCAGTTAGAATGGCGATCATTAAAAACTCAGGAAACAACAGGTGCTGGAGAGGATGTGGAGAAATAGGAACACTTTTACACTGTTGGTGGGACTGTAAACTAGTTCAACCATTGTGGAAAACAGTGTGGTGATTCCTCAAGGATCTAGAACTAGAAATACCATTTGACCCATCCATCCTATTACTGGGGATATACCCAAAGGATTATAAATCATGCTGCTATAAAGACACATGCACACGTATGTTTATTGCGGCACTATTCATAATAGCAAAGACTTGGAATCAACTGAAATGTCCATCAGTGACAGACTGGTTAAGAAAATGTGGCACATATACACCATGGAATACTATGCAGCCATAAAAAAGGATGAGTTGGTGTCCTTTGTAGGGACATGGATGCAGCTGGAAACCATCATTCTCAGCAAACTATCACAAGAACAGAAAACCAAATACCGCATGTTCTCACTCATAGGTGGGAATTGAACAATCAGATCACTTGGATACAGGAAGGGGAACATCACACACTGGGTCCTATTGTGGGGAGGGGGGAAGGGGGAGGCATAGCATTAGGAGATATACCTAATGTAAATGACGAGTTAATGGGTGCAGCACCAACATGGCACATATATACATACGTAACAAACCTGCACGTTGTGCACATGTACCCTAGAACTTAAAGTATAAAAAAAAAAAAAGAAATGTTATTTTTTTACAGAAAAATGCCATAATGTACATAGAGGAATTGATAATTGGAGAATAATCGTTCTGCAATCCGCAATGACATAATTGGTTTAGGCAAAGATCCTCCACAGATGCTAAATCTCTTAGATGAAAGATTATTGTCAAAAGAGTGGCTACATGGTGCCACCTCACAGATTGCTTGCTAATTTCATGGAGACAAATGTACCTTTAAAAGGGAAAGACATGGTGAAAGCAAGTGATCAAACATGCGTCCTATGAGTGGGACAACCCGGCACTCCATGAGTGGGATACACCTCCTGATGTGTTGCACCTTGAAATGCACAGCATCAGCTAGAAAGTATTCTTCCCAATATAACTAAGCGTTAAGGCATAAATCCCAGTGTATGGGAAACAAAGGAGATAGAGAACTGGGCTAAACATCACAAGGAAACAACTAGAAAAAACTAAAACATTATGATAGTCTGTAGAAAACTAGTTTGGTTTCTTCAAAAGGTCAACCTTATCATAAAAAGGTCATAAAAAGACATTTCTGGGATTGGGCGGGGGGTGGGGGGAATGCAAATATGGACCAGATGTCATGAATCAATGAGAAGTTTCTTGGGGGCAATAATGGTTTGTGCTTCTGTAGGAGAAATGTGCTTGTTCTTAGGTGATTCAGAGGGAAATGTTTAAGGGTTAGATAATGTAGAAGGATTCAAAGGAAAAAAATGTATTTAGGGAGATAAAGCAAACTAGTGAAATGTTAATGACATGAATCTAGGTGAAAGATAGGTACACATTAAATTATTCTTTCAACACTTCTACATGTTGGAAATGTTTAACAAAAGGTTGAGAGAAGAATCTACATCTTGCTTTAATCTTATGAGGAAATGAAAGTTTTTACAAATGCATACAATAAAATGTTAAAACATATGTAAAATTCAAAATTATGGAAAAAAGGAATAAAAGAAAATTTCAAGAAAGGGAGGAGTTTCAATGCACATATACTAACCACAGTTCACATACTTATTACAAATCAAGCCTCAAATGTAGTTCTCGGTTTCCTGGCTGCCATAGCATCACTGTGGCCGCTGTCGCAAATTTCCATCATCCAAAGGCCAACACTGCTAGTTCTGTAGGGAAACTAGAGCTGGTTTAGAGGAAATGCTTCTTCCCATGGGTTTCCTAAGGGAAAAACTCATTGACAAAGGGAGCAACATCCTCATCATCAGCTTCACAATATACGCAAGGGAAAGGGAGCCTTTTCCTTTCTATTGTCTGTCTTGCTATAGAAGATAAGGGGGTAGTTCCAAAGTCAGGTTCACTTAAAGCCCTATTGGGAAGAGACGTAGGTAGGGATGAAGAATAAAGACAAAATTCACGGAGTACTACAGAGATGGCCAAGCTGCACATCATTCAAAATAACTTCCATAGATGCCATCTGCTCCAAAACAATCTTTTGATAAAAAGCTGGGCAGCAGACCAAAAAAAAAAAAGAAAAAAACGACAAAAAGCATCATTTTCTGTTTGTTGCTCACATATGGAAATAAGATTGATTTCTGTATTGTTGAAAAGAGATCACCTTTTTCTTTAAAGCTGAGCAGCACATTTACTGTTGAACTCTGACAAGTATAAACAGTGTAGAACTTCTGGAAAAACTAAATAACGCAGGCAACTCTCACCGCAATGGATGGCCACCCCGCCTGCACATAGCCAGAGTTTTTCTTAAAAGTTACTCTGGTCTGCTGCAACTCAGGAATGATCTACAGTCTAGGAAATCTTAACATTTAATGCTGAAAAGTAACGCATCTGATACTTTGATCACTCTCTACAAGCTTTACCCTTTTACCTTATGTGCACACTACTTCTAATTATTTGGGGTAGTCACAGGGGTGGGGGTGGGCAGGAGTGACCTTGGCAAGTTACTCATAGCTCAGTTTTTCCACCTAAAAATGAGGATAATTTAGTATTTAACCTCTCAGGGTTATGAACATCAAATGAGTTTTATAACAACCTGTGAAAGCCTGGTCTACTGTAAAGCCTCAAAAATGTTATAGCACACTTATTTTTTAGGTAGATTCATATTCCTAAGTAATAGCCATGAAATCATGAGTATCACATCAAAGCTTTACTTTTCTCTAACAGACATTGAGAGAATGTGCCTCCTAAATCATTTTATAGCCCTCAGAAATAGGTAAATATTTGTCACTCTCTTCTGGAAGGCAGAATAACACAAAAGCATAAAAATAAAAAATTTAGAAGTATGTTTGTTTTGGGAAAAAAGAGGGAGGATAGACCAAAATTTTCTTCTAATGGTCAAGAGATATTTCCTTCGACCCTGACCTTCACCCATGGTATAGGCTCAGCATAAGCTTCAGGGATTAGACATCTGTTAACTTACATCGTTTCCTCTAAACCAGTCACTTTCCAGAGTCAAACGTAGAAGGAGGGTCAGCAAAAACCACTGTGTTAGAACGCTCTTGAAAAATTTCCCCATGTGATAAAGAATATACTGATCCCAGTCAATAGCAGAATAATACGCCAAAAGCTAGGGTGACTAGCAATCCCAGTTTACCGGACACTATTCTGGTTTTAGTGCTGAAAGTTCTCCCACCCTCTCAGTTCCCGGCAAACCACAACGTTGGTAACCTTCCTCAAAGCTCACTTGCTCTTCGTGTAAAACACTGCTCCAAGCAACACAGACTAGAGACTTTTTAAGTTGGAAACTGACATAGGTATTAGACGGCACGTCCAACAAACTACTGAATCTAAAGTTAAGGAAAGCAGAAAGCGGCAAACTATACTTCAGACACACCCAGAACCCAGAGAGGATTATCTCTGAGGCAATGAGCAGAAACAGGTTGTCATGGCATAAAGCCCAAGAGTCATAACAGATTTTGAACATTGTGGTGCCAAAAGTGCTAAGGTTTCAATTAGCAGTGAGAAAAGATGACTTCTTAGGACCCAACACC